AGTGCTATCCGGACAAGAATGGTATTCATGTTGATGGTCATGAGTTCGTCTGTGAACTCTGGCCTGATACCAATATCGATTCGAACAAAGTAAGTGTAGAAATACTCGTGTAATTTTTTACGACTTTTTTTGCAGAATTTACCGCAAAAATCGTCAGCAAAAGTTCAGAGTAAAACAGTGGAGAAAGAGGCAACGGGGCCGAGTTGTTATCGCACATTTACCGCTAAGCCTTTGGCTTGGATCTTCCTGGGATTGGATGCATGTGGGATGCTTACGCCCCACATGGTTACATCAGTGAGTTGGATTTATCGGGCGCGCGCTTTTTACGTTCATTTCGCTGTTCAGGTTTTGGTGTCTTTCATCCCGTTGATGATCCAGCGCATTAGTCGACACACTGAGCATCTAACTCGGAAGATGTTTAAGCGTTATAAGGAGCTCAGGCCTGTCCTACAGGTGAGGTCGATCCGGAGGCAGCCTCATATGTGTTTTGTAAATTTTAATTGCATATTTAATACCAAAAATAATATAAATCTATTTGATATATTTTTATGGTATGGTATAATTTATCGTAATTGAATATTATATTTTTTCATTATATGGTGAACTTAATACATGTTGTTTTCATGCTGTATGCTGTTCGTGTGCGTGGGAAAAGCAGACTTAAAATTCAGCAGACCTATTCTGGATTTTAAGGGCGACCCTAGGATAGGATTTGGCATGTGAAATTTTAATTCTGGGAGCGCTGTTGAATCTCAGGAGAGATCTATCGAACACGCCGTAGTCTCAGATTGAGGTCGCGAGTTCGAATCCCGGGACCTCCATTTTTTCCAATTGCATTATATTTAATTGTCATTTTTTCAGAGTCTTCTGCTAGCCATTACGCCGATTCCTCCGCTGAAGTCGTTCGTGCCCACCCTCCAAGCTGTTGTGAACCAAGGTCGTGATGCACCCCAAATGGGCACCATCGGCGAATGGTTTGTATCCTTCATGAAGGCTCTTTCAACATTGAGCTTCGACGGCCAAGTTCAGGTAAGGGTAAGTTTTAGTCATTACCTTTTTATCGGTTCGTTTTTAGGTTGTCACGATTATCGTCCCAAACTGGATTCCCTTGATGCATAAAATTATGGCTCACACGTCACTTTCTCATGCGCTGGTTCCCACCAAGGAAGAGCTAACGCATCGAGGTAAGGTTGCAGCGATGCTGTTGTATCGACTCGCTTACGTATCTGGTCAGACGCGAGTTGTGATGGGTGCGGCTGTAAGCCGATTATTGGCCCTTTGTTCAAGTGCCAGAGCTGTGATTACGACTTGTGTGGAGAATGCTATCCGATGCGCAGCAGTTTGCACTGTCCGCTTCACGAATTCAGCTGTATATTACGACCGAAGAATAAAGTGAGTTGGTTACCCTTGAATGAAGACAAGCACCTGTACGGTGTACGATCGTTACGGAATGTGGACCTTATTTAGTTTTAAAGCGATGCCTGAGATATAGTACGTGGTTTCGGCCGATGTGTTCTATCGGTACAATGCTCCGTAAGCGTCCGAGGAATATTCCAAACAACGTACCGGAGGTTCACATGGAACCTGAAACGTGCCCTTGAGTCGCCAATTTATGGTTTTTCTATCAGAAATGTAATATTGATAGCGGTATCAAAAAAGCCGAGACCGCCGCCAAGGAGAAAACCGAGGAGCTAGACACAGATTCGAGCTCAGATTTCGTGGACACTGATGAGCTCGAACAAACCTCTGAAGAAGATTCCCCAAGTGAAGTAGTAGTCGGAGATGGCTCACATGTCTTGTGAGAGGTTTTTGGTCGTAGGAAAAGGGTGGTGAGGCTGAGGGCGGATGCCCTTTCGTTGAAGCTGCAAAGAAAGCGTTGTCTCGTAAAGAACCACACTGAGAGAAATCAGGGTGCCTCGTTTACTCGTCTTGGCTCATCAAGATTATAGTGACGATTCGAATTGATGTCGATGCCGTTGGTAGTTGACCTTTCAGTCACTGTTATTTCTGAGCCAATCCACTCAGGCAGTTTATTTCCGTCAGTTGCCATTTCCTTTTACTGAGGTCTCGAGTTTACTAGTGGCACCATCATCATCAGTCTGTAGAATGAGAGTCCATTTTTAAATGGAAGTAGTGCTGAAAGTCGTCTTATTTCGAGCTATAGTATCTTGATGATATTCATCAGAAGTAGAGTAAACGTTGGAGTCGAGGGCATACTCCTGCACCATGTCGATGAAAGGGGTTGAACTGTGCATCTTGTCCAAGCAAACTTGGCCAGATGCTGTTCAGAATCGGCTCTCAAGGACGAGTCCTCTCTTATCGCCATCGCACATTGTACGACCACTACGAGGCAACTCAGTTCTCGCGACGCCTACTGGTTGTCTCGAGCGGGGCGACGATACTCCTGTAGGAACAGTAGGATCAACAGGTCTCCGTGCACTGTGCCGAACCGCACAGTAAATCGACGCATGTTCTCTCCATGTAAAGTGAACGTGGGAGTGAGAAAAGAGAGTATCACATGGAGTTATCGCATGGTGGAAGATTAATGAGTGTTTAGCTGTTCAGACAGCGATGAGGCTTTATTTCTGCTGTGAATAACTTTCCGTAACGTTTCAATACAGTGTATGCTCTCTGGCAGGTGGAAATCTTCATTTTTACTCGTCTAAACATCTTCCTCACAAT